CGCGTGCATGGGGCTCGTAGTTCGACAATTCGAACGCCTGACAAAATATCCCACATTGTGAGCATCATGCAGAATGGATCGCACGATTTCTCCTGCTTCAAGTATTGAAATGATGTTGCCCTCCTCGCTCACGTGTGCCGCAAAAATGTGTTTGATAGGTGGTATGTTCGCCTCTCTCCGTGTAGGAGGAAGAATCGGGGCGTCGCCCCTGCTCGCTAATGTGGGGATTGTGAGTAGTAGGAAGGAATAATGTTCTTCTTTGTTGGTGTCATCGCTCCATTTTTTGCGAGTGAGAAGTTGTAGGTCGGTAAAGTGGGTGCTGTTGAGATGAGCTGCACTGAGCACTTTGGCTACGTAGGAGAGCATGGGTTCATTTTTGACATCAAGTGCTTGTGCGTAGCGGTTGAGCCATTGGAAGACATCCAATTGTGCTGGATCAGTGGGTGGTTGGAATGTTGGAGGAGGTAAGTTGTGAGGTCGACGTTGGACTTGAATCGCAGGTATTGGTGCTGGTGGTGGTGGTGGAGGTGTCTGTTTTGTGGGGTGTTTGGGAGTGAAATGTGGGTTGGGCTTGAGTGTAATGCTGGAAGTACGGCGAGGTGGCTCTGGAGTGTGTTTTGCAGTAGCAGCTGTAGTGATGTTTTGGATGGAGGTGTGAGCTTTGTCTTGGGTGATTGCTGGTGATCGTGATGCTTGTCTGTCTGCAGGTTTGGATTGAGCTTGAGAACTAGCCACGGATTGTGTGGTGGAGCTTCGACGTCTTGGTAGTGGAGAGCGTGTGGTACGTAGTGATCGAGTGCGGCTCCTGGATCTGGATGTAGCTTGTGATGGTGCAATGGAAGGTACAGCTGGAAAGGCTGAGTAGCGGTGGTGTTTAGGTGTGCGTGGCGGTGAGCGATCTGGGTCGCGCCAAATGCCTCTTGTAGTGCTGAGTGTGGGTGCAATGGATGGTGTTGGCTTGGTAGTGCGTGGAATGTGGTGTGGTGGCGGAGGCTGTGCGGGTGTGTTGATGGATGCTGAAGCAGGTTGAGTAGTCGCTGGTGAGGTTGTTGAAGTGTAAGGTGGTGGTGGTGGAGTTGGTGTGGTCAACTGCTGTGAAGTGATTGCTGTTGGATCAGGCGGTGGTGCTTGTAGTACATCAGGTGCTTGTAGTGGTGGTGGTTGAAAAGATGTTGTGGCAGGGGTTTGATTTGTCGTGTGTGGTGATGGAGGTAGTTGATGTGGTAGATGTGGTAGATGTGGTTGATGTAGTTGATGAGGTGGTGGTTGAGATTGAGATTGAGACTGAAGTGGCAATGTAAGATGTGTGTGAGCTTGGGATTGTGGTGATTGAGTTGTGAGATGTGGATGTTGTTGCGCAAGTTGGGTAGTGTCGAAGGGAGCCGTAGGTTGTACTGGAAAATGTGCCTGAAGTTGATGTGGTTGGATGTATTGAGCATGAGGTGGAGGTGTAATGGGCAATGGGTAGTGATGTGAGGTTGGGTGTTGCGGTGGAGTCGGTGGTAGTGTTGGAAAAGGTTGTGGTGAAGCCTGTGGTGGAAATTGAATCCAATGGGGTTGTGTAGGTTGTGGTTGTGGATGGATGTGTGGCGGCAAAGAATAGGGCCAGGGATACGTCATGGCTGCTCGGCAAGTCAAAGACAGTGAAAATATGTATGTATGTATGAAAATAAATAAATAAATAAATAAATAAAGGTCCGTGAGGTCGAAAAATTGTGAAGTGTATTGAATAATCGCAATTAAAATTCTGGAAAATGGAATTAAAACTTGGAAGGTTAAAAAGATTTGAAAGGTTAAAAAGATTTGAAAGGTATGAATGGATCTCCGGGTGAAACTCTTTCAGTTAACTCTGCAGTGGAATTCAGAAAGGATTTCAGTGAACTCTGCAGTAATCTTCACGTGTGCTGGGTGAGACGATCCAAGCTGATTTCGAGCAGGTCAAATTCAGTCTAAGGGATTTCAGAGAAAATTCAGGAAACTTACTCCCTCGGTGAGGAGTGAACAGGTTCTTGCGGTAACGGCGCCCCGTAGGGATCACACAGCTCACCACAGTGGGAAGAAGCTGCGAAGACACACTTGAGAAGGTTGCTCCGTGGAGCGTGATTTCAGGTAGCTTCGCGGTGTGCATTAGCCCTTTAAATCTAGTTACTGCAGGAAACAACGTATGAGACGGCGTTGCTCTGACTTAGACATCTCAAAGAATTGGAAAATTGCAGGTACGTGAGAGTGATCAGCTCTCATATCCCGTGCGTCAGGTAGCTTCATTGGACATGGTCCCTGAACGCACGCCATGTCCCCCTGCTTCTGTACAGAAAAGCTTGTAGGGTAGATTAGAAAAACTAGGGTAGTGTCCTTGGAAGCAGGAGTGGACACACACACACACACACACACACACTCTTGGGATAAAGTACATACGGTCTGAATGCCACTTGCCCTGAAGCTGTCTAGGTGGTTCAAGAGGCCTAATGGGCGGATGAAGTGGAGAGGCATCCAACCAGTCTCAAAGGTTTCAGGTCCCGAAAAGAAGAGCATCCGTCAAATCCCCAAAAGGGTAGCAGCGCAAAATCGAAAGTGCAAGTCTGCCGACCTGGATCATCCTGCACAGTCACAACTTCCGGTGCAGATACGCTGAGTTGGTCAAGCATTGTAGTTTCGTTGAGTGCGGCGCCGCACTCCACTGCTAAAGTGCCAAGAGGCACCTTTTGACTCCAAAGGTTACACGCACACACAGTCGCTGCGGTTTGAATGCAGTAGGCAGTGTTCATATGTGTCACCTGGTGTTCGCATTGTGTTGTATTTGCCACAAAAGTGCTTTCTGGTGGTCAGTATTCCTTTTTCTGTGTTCCACGATCTCCTTTTTGATCTGAACAGCTTCCTTTACGGGGCCAAAGCGACATGGACGAGTCTGGAAAAAACATGCATTTCTGTGTGGCCCTCGGGCCCCCGAGTGAGTTGTCATTTGTTAGTAGCGATACTTTTGTTACTAATTCGTAATGCCCTTGTTAGAATTCCTCGGATGTTCATGCACTTTCTTCAAGTCAACGAGAAATGAACATTCTCTAAATCAAGTGCTACACAGTGGGAGGGAACAGCCGGGAACAGCTTCGTGTCGTTTTTTTTCATGTGCAGGCCTTTTGTGTTGGCTCTACAGTTTTGGCCCGGCCAGAAAGGAATTTTGCAAAGCAACCTATTCAGTTGCTACCTCTCATTGCCGAGAAACAAAGGTGGAGTTCATATGATTCACACTTGGTTGGAGTCCCATGCCTTGTTGTATGGTGAATTAAGCCAGAAAGTGGAAGAACTCCTGCGCTTCGCTCGTCATCTGCTTAAGCATGACACGCTTATGCCCAGTGCACCATTTTCTGTGCCACTGTGAAGGCACCTTCTACATACAATATCATACAATGCTCGCAAACAGGCAACTTCCTCAATAGAAAACCATTTGTAAATGCCTTCCAATAAGGCATGAGTGATATGAGTACCCAGTGGCCGTTTGCCACGGCATCAACAGCTCACTCATGCGTGTGGCGAATCTCCAGCATGCTTAACATGTTTGTGGCAAGTGCCAAGTTCCATATTGCTCCTTTCAATTCGAGCAGTCCGGAACTGGCGCCAATCTTAGCTTCACAGATTTGAGAATCGAAAACACTTCAAATTGGGCACTCCCAAGAAAAGGGAAGCCGACGGGAAGAAACCCTTTTGATCCCGCTCGGGAAAGTTCCCTAGCAATCATGTTGTTTTGTTTATATTTTTATTGTTTAGTTTCTTTAGCTATTTTTGTTCAGTTTCTTCTTTCTTCAGACTTTCCTCCTTTCTTGTTCATTTCTTTTTTACATGTATTCTTTCTAGCTTCCTTTCTACTCAGACTAACAGCCCTTCCAAGACAAGAAACCCTGGATTTGCAATACCTTAAACAAAAAAACATGCTGCGCAGGAGACACGGGGCTTCATTCCCCTCGTGGTGCTCGCCCGAATGCTGTTGAGCGTGGAGTGCCATCCCAACAAGGCGAGATCAATTGTGAGCTCGACAGGGACCGCGGACCGGCCGGGCCCGGCCTAACCTAAGGCCAGGAGCCCCTAGTAGCTTCTTGTTACTACTAGTAAGGCCCTTGCTCCTAGTAGCGATGCACTTGTTCCTAGTAGCGATGCCAGAAGGAACATCATAAGGAACCTAATGGCCTCCAACCTAATAGCGATGCCCTCCAACCTACTTGCGATGGGCTCCAACCGAGATATAAGGAGACCCTTACCTTTTGTAACGACCTTTTGGTGTATTGGGGCCTTACGCATGGTGAGAAGACCTTCTATAACAAAGAGGCCCTTACCATGGTCCATTTCTTTTTTGGTATTTTTGTCCGAAGACATGGCCCATGGGCAGGTGATGGGGCCGCATGGGACACGCTTGCTGTTCAAGTTGAACGGCGCACTCATATGATTCATCTATTGGGATGATTTCGGATGCAATATGATGTGATAGGGGCTTCTGGCAACTAGGAGCAAGGACGCTACTAGGGGCTCCTGGCATCGCTACTAGTAACAACACGCCCAATTTCACAGCCCTACACGCCACGCTTCAGGTCTGTCTCTGCCCATTTTGACCCCCCAGGCCCATTTTGGAAGAGGTGATCTCTTCCCACACCAAAGTCCTGAGCTTATAGAGCTGTTCTCTGGAGCTCTCTCAGTCGTCGCTTCGTCGCAACCTGTCGCCGAATCTGTGCCTCGTCGCAACCTGTGCACTTCACCAAAAGAGGAACTGAAAACACAGATGTCTTTTGTGTTATGCAGCTGTCGGGGTCATGAAAGGTGAGCTTGGCTGCCTGCCAACAGATATCACACGATCAATGCTGTTTAAATGCACTAGATTCTAGAACCCCCCCTTTCCCAAGGACACAATCTATAAGAGCCTAATAATAGCCTCTGGACATTACGCTATTAAAAGTCTTACATTTTTGAGTTGGCAAGTTTTAATCCTACCTATTTCCTCCAATGCAACTTGTAAAATGAATGCACCAGCAGAATTGAACAGGAGAGAATCAGACCACAAGGGGAGTCTGGACACCGCACAGACCGTACGAAATGCGCACTTTTGGTGGCTGAAGCGGCCTCAGCTGGCGCAGGTGGTGACCCTGAGTTCTCTTCAAGCGGCCGAAGCCTCAAGCGGCTGAGTGCACTACGCTCGTTTCTACGCTCGTTTCTATCCCTAACTAGTAGCTCGAAGCTACTCGGGGCTCCTGGCATCGCTACTAATAGAAACAAGAAGCTACTAGTAGCTCCTGGCCTCACAGCACGAGACGTCAGGCCTTCCCGCACATGAAACCTGTCCAGGCGGACAAGGGGGACAGCAGAAAAGCGGTATGCGGAAGAACCAAACTTTCTTCCTTATTTTCTTTGTTTCTACTAGCGATGGCCTCCAACCTAACAGCGATGGCCTCCAACCTAAGAGCGATGGCCTCCAACTAACTAGGAAGCAAAGAGAACATATTTGTTTCCAACTTCTTCCTTGTCAGGCCCGCTACCTCATGAGAACTCTGTTTGAGGAGGAGACCGCATGAACAAAACATTGGATCCTTTAACAAACAGAGTTTCCGTGAGTGGTGCCCAGGACAAGAGACAGAAGGTGCCGGACTTGGCAGGCTTTCTTCGGATTTGTGCTATTCACAACTGTCTTTCTGTTGCGAGGCGACGCAGAGGGTGCTGACAGGGGAGGACCTTGGGACCTCTGGGAGCAAGGGCGCTACTAGGGGCTCTTGGCATCGCTACTAGTAACAAGAAGCTACTAGGGGCTCTTGGCCTTACTACTAGGAGCAAGGACACTACTACGGGCTCCTGGCCTGTGGTCCAAATCTCAAGGCCTTTGGCCCAGTCGTACTGCCACCCTCCGCCACAGGACTCACTGATGGGAGCTCCAGGTCCATCGCAGGACGGGAAGAAGAGCGACGGACCCTGAGTCTCGTATTGTTTCATCCTGGTGGCCTTTTCGTTCCTAGTAGCGATGCCCTTTGTTCCTAGTAGCTTCTTGCTCCTAGAAGTAAGGCCAGGAGCCCTTAGTAGCGTCCTCCGTCCTTGTTCCTAGTAATTAGCGATGCCCTTTGTGCTGCTTTGCTATGAATTGCTTGCTTTTCGGTCAGGATCTTGATCCGAAAGAGATTGCAACTGCATGTGTCCCTCTCTTCATGGTCACTTGGCCTTTGGGATGATGTTTCTTTGAAGACCCTCAATGTTTGGTCTTTACTTTGATAGAAACTAGAATGAATGTAAACCGTTTCTTTTCTTTGGAACTTATTTTTTTCACATTGATCTTGAGTCTTACGACCACTCTTTCAAAGAAAGAGTGCCTTCCTTTCGGTCTTACGTAGGGCTGGGGTACACCTGGCCGGATGCACCTCGCTGCCGAGGCTGCAACACAGCCAGTGATGAGCGAGTTCATGACCAAGCTGGCAGCTTTGGAAGCGAAGGCACCTGGAAGCAATGGCCTCCAACCTGGAAGCAATGGCCTCCAAGCTGGAAGCAACGGCCTCCAACCTGGAAGCAATGGCCTCCAACCTGGAAGCAACGGCCTCCAACCTGGAAGCAATGGCCTCCAACCTGGAAGCAACGGCCTCCAACCTGGAAGCAATGGCCTCCAACCTGGAAGCAACGCCCTCCAACCTGGAAGCAATGGCCTCCAACCTGGAAGCAACGGCCTCCAACCTGGAAGCAATGGCCTCCAACCTGGAAGCAATGGCCTCCAACCTGGAAGCAACGGCCTCCAACCTGGAAGCAACGGCCTCCAACCTGGAAGCAATGAATGGCCTCTAACCTGGAAGCAATGGCCTCTAACCTGGAAGCAATGGCCTCCAACCTAGAAGCAATGGCCTCCAACCTAGAAGC